GACAGAGGGAGACTCCAAATCAAAAAAAAAAAAAAAAAAAGAATCACTGCAGGAAATATAGAATGACCCTGTGATTCAAGTGATTTATTAAGCAGCCTTTTAATCCATGTGTCAGTAACCTTGACAGAGTTCACCGGGCAAACCCACTTGCCAAATGGCAGTAAATGTGAACTAAACAAGCTCAGAAACAGATGTAGGTGTAGAACCCACAAAGTATTCATACTTTGGCTCTTTTATTCCTTCCTTTCCTTAGAAGCAGCTGAGTAGTCAATTCTTAATTGAAAAGCCTAATGTTTGTAGACTGCATAAGCTAAACCTTTTTGTATTTTCCCAGAATAATCATATACCAATAAATATCACTTGTTTCTCAGTTAGAAAAACATAGACAATCATGTGTCAGGAACTAAATAAAATATAGCCCAATGTCATTACTTTGATTTTTGTCTCAGTTTCTCAAACACTACATGGACATTGGTATATATTCTTCTATGGGAAAGGAGTGTATTTTAAATAAGTGGATTATTTTCAAATTCCTCTTCAAGTATTGACAAATATGTTTTATTGGTGGCTACTTCATGGTACATTACTTGATTAAATATGATGAAGCTAACTGAAGTGTATAGTATGTGAAATGATGAAACTATTAAGTAAGGAGGTTACAAAATGTGTACACCATAAGTACATCTAACAATAACATAAGTATATGTAATGACACAAGCATAAGGGTAAAAAATTACAATGCTATGGTCAAGGGAGAAAAGTGGTTATTTTAGGTAGGCAGTATTATGGGTGATAGGCTATCCCTTGTCCTCCATGCTTTTCAGTAACAGTTGTTATGCCTCATACGTAAAGAAACACAAAAACAAACAAATGCCATATGCTAGTCACCAAGTGTCATAGACTTACCTCTGCAGCTACAGCTCTTTGATGACTCTCTTCATAATCCTCTTTCCCTTTCTTTATACACTCTTCTATTTTCATTTTCTCATTTGTAAGAGTAGTACTGCAAATATTAAAGAAAAAAAAAACTTCTTGAAAAAAATTAACCAGTGAGATTACAAAGGCTTCAGGTTAGGTTAGCTTTGAAATAATCCCATAAAAAGTCTTACACAACATCTTCTAAGGAAATTTCTTGCCTCACATTTTCCTACACAATACACAGACTCATGTGTAGTCTCTGTGCTTTACAAATGATCAAAGGAAGATAGGTAATTAAAAGTGCGTATCTGGGGGAATGCTGAGCAACAGGTAAAGGTACTGTACCAGTTCACTGTTTTTATGGTAGTCTGACCATATTAATAAATGTTATAAAACATTCCTCCATCTTTTTGAGACAGAAATTCTGTTTTGACACATATTACGAGGAAATGATCCCAAGGAAAAAAGTGATCTATACAAAACTGTTCATAGCAATACTTTCATAACAGCTAAAAAATGGAAACAAATCTAAATGTTCAATAGATGAGTGGCTTAAAAGAAGGTCATGGGTCAGGATGGGGATGGAAATGTGCATAGGAAACAATATTCATTGAGAGAAGCAGAATACAATTGCTTACTACTGATTATGAAAACATATTTCCATTAATAAAGGTTAAAAGGGAGCTTTGTATAGGTTCATAATAAAAGTTCTTTAATGAACCTATAATTATAGAGCAATAAAAGTCACAAACTACCAGTCTATAGTTGAGACTAATATTTCAGAAGAAAAGTTTTTAAAACACATTTTTAGTTTCAAGTTAATTCAATAAAAAAAACAGTAATTGACAATAATACACACATACTTTTTTATACTGACACCGGGAAATAAGTCCAGAAAACTTGAAAAATAAAAACGTTCAAAGAATATATTTATTTAAACATTAATTTCAAAAATGCAATAGAAACAACAGAAATAAAGTAGAAACATAACTATTTAAAAGAAAGAGATAACATATTTATAAGTCTAGTATGCTCATGCTCCTGGTATTAAATGCATAAGATATTAAAAATAAATTTAAGCTTAATTTGCCTGATTTCAAGGGACTGATCCAGATGTAATTCATGCTCCTTAACCTTTCCATCATTTTTCTGGGTATACCTATAAAAGCATAATCACCAAATTTTAATTAATGTCAAAATTTGTTTTAACACAACTTCACATGGTAAATTCCACCCATATCTTTACAAATGTTTAGGAATTTTTTGTTTTCACATTTTGTTTCATTTCTAGTATGTTCTAAACAGGCAAATAATTTGGGGTCACTTTACTTTTGGGAAATTTTCCTTTTACACCTGGAGGACAGATCACCTTTTTCTTTACTCTAAGTCATAATGCTTACAGATACACCCTATCTCAGTTCAAGAAGCCCACATCAAGAATGGTTTTGACATGAGACAGAGAACACAGGTACTGCGACATCATCATCAGTGTAACCAGCTGTTCTCATTCAAAATGAGAATATGTGAATTCTCAATCAAAATAAAAACAGCCTTCTATTCTTTAAAATAGGACTTAAGGTCTACACACACACACACACACACACACACACACACACACACACACACACACACACACTGATAACCCTCCTAAACAAAGTGTGTGGTGAATCTCTGATTCTTAAGCAATGCCCTCCACAAGGCAGGTTCTGCCTCTTCTTTCAAGTTACCCCAAGACACCTTTTTAGTCATTTCTACTTACTAAAACCCCTAAGTTTCCTAAATAAAAGTCAGTTTAGTGGTCATTTCACCTATTTTGTAAAATGCTTCCTTCTTCCTCAAAATACTCAATACTAGGCAGCTATCTCAAGGAATTCCTGCCTTCTTTCATAGATACCTGTGGTCTGAGTCATTGCATGTTACTACAAAGAAAACAAAACAAAAGCAATCCCCCAAACTGGGAAGGAGCCCAGAGGCCAAACAACGATTTGGACAAGTCCAGCTGGACAATTAGATGAGTTTATTAGGACTTACATACAGGGTACTCCTGGACAGCAGCAGGACAGCTCCAGAGATCTACCTTGTCACTCATCTCTAAGCTGTTTTTAAGGTAATTTTTCTGGCTCTTTGCCTACTGGGTATGATGAGACTCTTTTTCTTGGTATGTTTGGGTTCTCAGGGACACCTGCTCCTTGGCTGGGCACCGTGACCTTGACTCACCACCTGGCCTGGTGGTGGGACCCATCACACTACATTGCATCAATCATGCGCCCTTTACATGCTAGTCATTTCTTAATACTGTGAACAAAACCACAAAAACATCAAGGAATCATCTCCTTTATGCCTCTCTAAGAAAAATACCAAAAAAATTTTAAGATTTTACTTTAAAATTCAATTATGAAAACTGAGTTTTAAAACATTTACTAGGGAAGTGCAAAAAGAAGCCTATGGTTTATCTTTAAATTGTGACAGAAGAGGCAAAGAAACATATTAATAAAGTAGAAAAGTCAACAATAAAAAGTTTACTCCTCAGAAATTGTTAACTTTTATGCTAGTATAGGAAAAAAATTCCTTATCATAAGTAGTATCTAATTAACTTGTCTAGTTTGATAGTATGTATGAATTGAACATAAAAATGTATATTAAATATAAGTATTTCTGCATTTTAATAACAAAACAATTAAGACTGGACATGCTCAAATAGTCAAGGTGAAGAGCTTTAAAGAATTATCATTTCCATAAATATGTTCCAGTAATGAAACTATTTTGAACATAAATCAAAATGACACAACAAAGGGAGAGAAAATTCTAAGGCAGTGTTTTATACTTCCCTCCTTTGTTTAAGGACTGCCTAAAAACTGCCCAAATGTAATGCTAGCAAGATTCATAATGAAAGTCATCAGAATCATGAAAATAACAAATGCCCCGAAAGGTGAGTGTATAGCATGGACCTCAATGAACTAGGCCTTCCATTATTCATGCCCTTGAATCTGGACTAAGCCTATGACACATTTCAAGTAACAAAATGTGGCACAAATGAGGCTGTGAGTTCTAGGCCCAAACCTTTAGGAGGCCTAGCAGCTTCCTTCCATTCTTGTACTGAGTTGTCCTTGGTCAATACATAGTAAGTCTGGCTGCCATGCTAGAGACCACATAAGACTAGATAGAAATCACATGAACAGGCTACATGAGAAAATGAGGTTGAGTCATCCCAGTTGAGCCCAGCCCCAGTCAAGCCCCAGTTAAATTAAGCCATATAAGAGACCACTGGCAATATCAGAAAAATGTCCCAGCAGAACTCAGCCCAAATTGCAGAATCATGAGAGCAAATAAAATGGCTGCTCACTAAACTACTGATTTTGGGTGTTTTGTTACACAGCAAGAGATAACAATTAAGCTGAGAATTACATGGCATATCACTGTTTTAAGCAGAGAGAGAGGTTAGGGATGGATCGCAGAGGATCGTAAAACACACTTGGCCCACCTGACAATTACGCCCAGGATCTATATGTATTATCAAATCATTCATACTACACTTTAAATTTCAATAAGTTAAAGATTCAGGAGAAGAGTAATTATAAATAAATCAATTCTTTGTAAATTCTTAGTCTCATGCTATTTGAACTTCTATATAATTTATCTGAAAACACTGAGTTTGGAAAAAACTTCAGGTGAAGTAATTACCTAGAATTATGCTTTTTAATCAATAGATGCTTTTTAAAATGAGACAAAAACACTGAAAATAGTGCCTATAAATTTTTATTTTACTTTTTATAATTTGAAATTAAATATTAAAAACATGAAAATAACCAAAAGACACAATATTTTAAAAAACCAAAAAAGTATTGTCTTTCAATTGTTACTTACATTTCACTGGCATTTGAAACCTTCTTAATTTTTTTCTTCAGTGCTTTTATTCTTTCTTGGATTTCTTTTTTTTCCTGTTGCCATTTTTTAATTTCTCTTTCCAAGTCTTGGAGGAACCAATCTAATTCTGTTTTTGAGATCTAAAAACATTTTTTAAAAGTAATTAAATAAATGGCAAGACGTACTCTTAAAAAAAAGAGGCTGAAAGACTAGAATTGTGACAGTGTCATAGCTTAAACAATGACTCAGTGGGATAGACACTCCTGAACTGGCACCTGTGACAGGTCCTATGGCCAAGTCTGGGATACAAAGTCACATCACACAGCCACATCCTAACCCTAAGTGCACCTGCCCAGTAAGGTACTCTAAAGAACCACTTCAATGTGCCCAGAAGCATCTACACATTACTCTTCAGACTAAGTGATTCTCTAAGCTAAAGGTAGTCTGTACACATGTTTAGTTGGCAAGTTCAATAGCTTATGTTTGTTTTTATAAATATAAATGTGATCCTCTGGTTGGTCATGAAAGGTATTGGGATTCAAACAGCTGCCAGAATTTCAGGCAGTGTAACAAAGAGAAATGAAAACCTCTTGCAAGACAATGCCAGTTACCTTTTCCCTGGAGGGTTAGGTACTTGATACCACTTGATACCAGCCCTCTTTGTCAGCTTCCCATGTAGTTTCTGCTTTTTGAAATTTCTAAACCTACAAATTCTCTGAAACTTTTATGTTCTTTTAAAAGTATCATCCATTCAGTGGTAGCGAGGGGTTAGAGTGGAGTACATGCTTAGAAATACCAGTCATTTATAAGTAAAACATTCTCTTTGTTAATATTTCTAATAGTTTAAATGTGAATCAGAGAATCAATGCAATATATAAAAGAAACAACTAAGAGAAACAGGTTAAATTTTTCCATTTGAAGTTCTACAAATTTTTTTTTTTTTAATTTATCATAGAGAGAGTTATCCGGCAAGTTATCCGGCTGGTCTCAAACCTGGGGGCTCAGGTAATCCACTTGCCTTGGCCTCCCAAAGTGCTGGGATTACAGCCTGATCCACCAAGTCTGGCTGAAGTTTTACTATTTGACTGCTTAATGAAATAATAAGTTCATATTTGCTTTAGTCAAATCATTAATTTTTCACTTCCTATCAGGTTCCCTGCAGCCTGAACTTCCTGATTTGGCTTGGAACATGCCTACGTCACTAAGGACAAGGATTCAGCTATAGAAAAACCCAGGGCCTTCTCCCTCAGAAAGGACCCTAAAGTCAACCTATACAGACTCCATGGGGAATTATGGCCCTGGAGTCAAAACCTATATCAACTTAAGAGGCCATTGCTCTCTCTTCAGCCTTAGACATCAAGGTTTCAATATTTCTGGAAGACAGATCTGGTAACCAATCAAGGTTCTTTAAGACTTCCAAGTCCTACAGCAGGGGTAAGTTTGATTTCAGTGACTGTGAAATGAACAGCAAACAGCTCAGTGATGTTCCCTTTAGCACAGGTACCAGTTCTGTTCACATTTTCTTTGCTGCAACCCTGCTGATCCTGAATTTGTCGAGTCATTACTGTTACTTGGATGACCACCATGCCTACTGCATTTACAAAATCCTGTATTCTACCTGGTTCAATTTTAGTACCAGGACCAATGTCAATTTGCATGCCTTGTTGCTGGCAGCCAAGTCAATCTAATTTCTTGCCTATCCTGTGCTTCTATTCTGAGCCAATGATCTCACCTTGGATCTAGTTCTTTGGCTGGGAGATTATGTGCAACCACAAGGTTATGCTGGGGCAAGAGAACCTACTTGGCAACAAGTATCTAGGAGTTCAGGTATCAAAAGCATCAACTATTACAAACACATGTGCGTACACACATACAGCTCAGTCAGTGAAAATACTACATGAGTTCATCTGCTGTTTGTATTAACCACCCTCTAATGGCACAGCTGCCTCACAATGCTAACCAGGTCAGCTATCATAAGCATGTCTTTGACTACATGAAAGAGAATGATTTCCTGAGTCATTTTCTTTCTGTATGCATAGTTTATTTACATAGCCATAAATACTTTCTGATAATTTTTTTTTGTTTTCATCTTTTTTAAACCTCAACTTTGTTCCAAAATAAGTATTTGATGTGTCTTCAGGAATACATATAATGGATAATATCTTCAACTGTATTCTAGAGTAACAGAGCAATAATCTTCACAGAGTGTATAAGTCTGATATCCTCTGATATAGAATGAAAACACAGTTCACTAACTGTAGTTCTTCAGGAGACCAAGCACACATTGTCTGATAAACATTTGCAAAGCTCCTAGTCTGTACACTGAGCTAAGTCTTGCTAGGAGTAGTGGTGTCTTCTCTCTAGTCCCAGCTACACAGGAGCTGAGGCAGGAGGATTGCTTAAGCCCAGTTGTTCCAAACCAGCCTGGGCAACAAAATGAGACCCCATCTCACAAAGTAAACAAGCCCCCCAACCCCCAAAACAAAAACAGTCCTCACTCTCAGGAAGATCACAGTTTTGATGGGGGAAATATGCATAAAAGATAATGTCTGCACCAAACATGCATATGAACTAAAAAATGGAGGAGCTAAAACTGTAAAACTCCTAGACAAAAAAATACAGCAATAACTCTCAGTGTCCTTTGATCAGACAGGGGTTTCTGAGCTCTGACATCAAAAGCACAAGTAACAAAAGAAAAAAGAGAAAGTGGACTACATTGAAGCTAAAAACTTTTGTGCTGTAAATAATATCATCAAGAAACTGAAAAGACAACCCACAAAATGGAGTTAAGAGAAGTACATACGAAAACATAGAAGATGGGAGAAAATACTTGAAATTATCTATTTTATAAGCAACCTGTATCCAGAATATATAAAAACTCTTAGAAGTCAGTAACAGAAAGACAAAAAGACTTGGCTAATAAGTAAACAAAGGATCTGAATAGACTTCTCCAAACAAGATATACAAATGACCAATAAGCACATGAAAAGATGCTCAGTATTATTAGTCTTTAGGGAAATAAAAATCTAAACCTCAATGAGATATCACATCATACCAAATAGAACAATGACAATCAAAAAAGAGATGTCAGTAAGTGTGAGAAGGCAGAGCAACGGGAATCCTCATAATGCAGTGGGTGGAAATATAAGATGTTTCTGGAACAGTCTTATAGTCCTCAAATGGTTGATATGGAATTATCATATGATCAGCAATTCCACTCCTAGGGGTATATCCAAAATAGATGAAAACATATGCCCACAGAAAAACCTGCCCATGAATGTTCATAGCAGCATTACTCATAATAGTCAAAAAGTGGAAAGAACCCAAAGTCAACCAGCTAATAAATGACTAAAATGTGATATAGTCATACAATGAAAAGCAGCAAAAAGGAATGAAATACTGATACATATTAACATGGATGGGTGTACATGCCTGAACCTTGAAAATGTTATGCTAACTGAAAGAAGACTCTCACAAAAGATCACATGTAGTATGATTCTATTTCTATAAAACGCCCATAATAGGCAAATCTGTAGAGTACATTAGTGGTTGTCTAGGGTGAGGGGTAGAGGAGAATGGGGAGCAATGGTCAGTGGGCATAATTTTTTTTTTTTTAAAGCAGGATTTATTGAGAGGACAGAAAAGCTCCCACAGTGGGAGGGGACCCGAAGGGGTTACCTGAGATTTCTTTCTAGGATGATGAAAATGGCCTATTTAAGCCGGGCTCGGTGGCTCAGCCTGTAATCCTGCGCCTTTAGGAGGCTGAGGTAAGTGGATTGCCTGAGCCCGCGAGTTTGACACCCGCCTGGGCAGCGAGACCTCATCTCTACAATAAATAAAAAAATCAGCCGGGCGTGGTAGCACATGCCTGTAATTCCGGCTACTTGGAAGGCTGAGGCAGAAGGATCGCCAGAGCCCAGCAGGTCGAGGCTGCAGTGGCTGGGAGCGGCCACTGCACTCCAGTCTGGGCGACAGGGTGAGACTCCAACTCAAAAAAAAAAAAGAAAATGTCCTATTTAGATTGTGGTAATGGCTGCGCAGCCCTGTGCATATACTAACACCATTGAACTGTATACTTTAAGTGGGTGAATTTTATGGTATGTGAATTATATCTCAATCAAGATGTTACAAAATGATAATTACTATACAATATAGTGAAGTGCTTATTATCACCACTGCATTAACAAATGCCTTTAGATTGGGTGGGGTGTAGGCTCACGCCTACAATCCCAGCACTCTGGGAGGCCGCTGTAGGAGGATCCCTTGAGCCTAGGAGTTTGAGACCAGCCTGGGACACACAAGATCCCCATCTCTGATTTTTTTTTAAAAAAGGCCCTTAAGCAAGTCTGAGGCTGCCATCAACATCTACTTCCTCAAGAAAGTGATGACCTAGCTGGGTCCCAAGGATAAACAGAAGGGAGCCAGACTTGGGGAGAAAGAAGGCTACTCTGCAGAAGTACTAGGAGAATGTTTAGAAGTGATAAAATCACACAACAAACATTATCCATTACATGAAAAGGAAATGTAGAGAAATGACAGGGGAAAAGGCAGGAGATAGAAACAGGCACTAATCACAGAAGCCTTTTGTTTTTTTGAGTTGGAGTCTCACTGTCATCCAGGCACGAGTGCAGTGGCATACTCATGGCCACTGCAGTCAGCCTTGACCTGCTGGGCTCAGGTGATCCTTCTGCCTCAGCCTTCCAAGTAGCTGGAACAACAGGCATGTGCTACTATGCCCAGCTAATTTTTGATTTATTGTAGAGACACGGTCTCGCTAAGTTGCCTGGGCTGGTTGGTCTCAAATTCGCAGGGTCAGGCAATTCACTCACCTTGGCCTCCCAAAGTGCTGGGATTACAGGCTGAGCCACCAAGCCTGGCCCATAGAAGGCATTTAAAGCTCTTGGTAATTACTGAGCTTTTTTGTAAATTGCTGGTGCTAACCCATTGTAGTAGAGGGATGGCACTCATAGCACCACCCTTCATCCTTTGTAACCATGCACTTTGTCATGTGACCACTAAGGAGGCAGTCTATTTTCTCTAGCCCTTGACTCTGGCTGACTGTGACTGCTTTGCCTGCTGAGTATGAGGAGACCTGATGTCAGCAGAGGCCTGAAAGGTGTGGCTATTCTTGCTTGCCCTTGCTCTTTCCTATTGCCTCATGCCTTGAGAATATGATTTTCTGGGTAGAAGATGTAAAACACACAGAGCAGAGCTAGTTGCCCCAGTCAGCCCACCTGAAGTCATTTTAGATCAATCCACAGCCAGCTGACCCCAGATATGTGATCAAGCACAGCAAACAGGCTGCAGGGCCCTCACTGGCCCAAAGGCAAACTGACCCAGCCAAGTCCAAGCAGGATCAGCAAACCCCCCAGATTCATACACTTAATGTTTACATGTCACGTGTTGCTTGGGTTTTGTGGTTATTACTCAGCAACATTATGATGGTAATTAACTGATATACCAACTACTGAAAGGTGCTGAGAAATGTTTTAAACAGTTGAACTGGTTATGGAACTGACCTCCTCTTAAGGGAGAACAGATGCAAGGGATCTGGAACCCGACACTCACTGCCTGTTCTGCCACTGTGTACTGGTATGGCTTGGACAAGCTGCATTCATTGTTCCTACCTCCATTTCCTCACCAATAAAATGGTGATAATACTAGCATACTATAGTATAACACCAGTATACTAGGACTGTTTTGAGATTAAATAAATATATATAAAAATTAACAATTGAGTATGGCACATGAGCTCCACATGTTAGATTTTCAAAAGGCTGAGCTTGGCAAGGATCCATGACTGAATCAGAGAATTTCAACCTCTGCACTGATGTGGGCTGAGGAAGTTTTGGCAGGCAGGGCCAAGATTCTGTTCTAATCTAGAAATAGGACAAAGGTCCAATTTTCTGCCCCATAAATTATTCTGGGCAAAATAACTTGTCAGTGTTTTAAGAGACAGCGTCAACTAAATACCCATCTTAGCAATAAGAAAGTCTCATTAAACCAGTGTAATAACATATGTCCTGGGCTCTTGGGGAGTGACTGACTAGCAGGCATGGGGTTTCATTTTGGGAATGATGAAAGTTTTCTGGAATTAGATAGTGGCAATAGTTATACACTCTGAAGTAAAGGATAAAAAAGCTCATAACCTCAGTGACCTACAGTCAAAGGTCAAGGGAAAGATCAATAAATGTAACAATTTTTTTATGTTTATAAAACATTTCTCCACAAGTTTATGAGCATAATCATGATTAATAAGGAAATGACCGTGGCTAAATCTCATCTGCTCTTATATGGACCTAAGGAACTCAGATTAGCAATTTATTCCAATAGGAAACAGATTCACATTCTATACAGGAAGTCTAAATAACCCAACAGGCTTATAATTTGGGGACTAAATAACTGTCCTTTTAAGACTGACTACACTCTTGAGTGGGGCCACACAACAGTAGACCCAAAGCCTCAACAAGTTAAAAAGCCCAAGAGCCAGAGCCCAATAGCTACAGTTGCAGCCCTATCACAGCTTCCCCACTGGGTGCAGTTTCCTAGATGGATCCTGACCAACTGTACAAAAAAAGGAGCCTTGATGAACTGTACAACACATACAGCACCCAGTCTGATCAGGCATTTATAAAGCTGAGAAAGTCTCTGCCAGAAAGGAACTTCACTCACTGAAATGCCACCTCTAGGTGACTGTCCCCAATCTAGCATCATCCCTCAAATAGGTGGCCATATGCATCCCCATATGAATTTATTAACATTGAATTTTCCTGAGGCAATACAAAGTTTATACAAATATTTTATTTTGTTAAATCTCCCAAGTAACTAATTCAAACTTGTGTTCCATGTGTCACTGTGCTATGCAAGGTTTTACTTTTGTTCTTTTTTTTTCTCTTCTTCCAGCTAGGCAACCAAGCAGAAAGTCTCTGGTTCATCTAATTCTTCTTGTCCTTCTAATCTCCCTAGTTTTATCCTGAGTACACAAAGGTCCTGGGGAATGTTATGACAGTTATCTTACAAACTAACCCTTTCCTTCTGGGTATACTTAAATCCCAGCGAACAAGTTTCCTAATTAAGGCTCCACTAAGCTAATTTCTTCTATTTAATGTTACCCCAGCTATTGGTTGAGACTTCTGAAACAAATTCTCTCTTAAATGGATTAATATCTCTTTGTTGCCTCTCTGAACAGAAGACAGTTGCTTTTAAAAAGAAACGCACTATGATTTCCTCACATCTGTAATTCCATTTTCCCACTAATTCAATCTCGCCTTGCCACTAATTGCTATCACTCCATTAGCCAGTTACTTGATGATCAATGTTGGCTAACAGAATTCAAGGTCAGCAGATTCCAACAAGATACTCTGGGTGACTTTACAGTTCTAAAATGCCTAAGGCTCCATGTGTTATTCTTATTCTTCCTTAGAAGTTAGAGGAAAATAATAATAGTAGTAGTAATAATTGGCAGGCACTACTTATTGAGTCCTTACTATGTACCAAGTAGTTTTAAATACTTTACAAGTATTAATCTAACCCCACAAAATGGGAGCTATTATTATCCAAGTTTTCCAAATAAGGAACTAAAGCACAGAGAGGTTAACCTACCCAAGATTAGAACTCGTATAGAACCAAGCCTGGATTGAAACTCTGCCAGTCTGTATCCAGGACTCACACTTTGAACCGCTAATGCTACACTGGCTCTCAATATAAACAAGACTTTACCTCAGAACTCAGTTACCATAAAATAGAGTTTTAGTTAACCAAGCAAGCTGAACTGTAAGAAAATGAAAGCCCAGATTTACAACTCTTCTCTCATAAGGCAACTTGTAGAGGTTCTAAAACACTGCAAGAAACACTGTCACTTTAATGTGTCATGGAGGAATTTGAAGCAGGCAATTTTGAGAAAGAATCCTTTGTTTAACCAACAGTGCAGAAGTTCAGCTAACTGAGGCTGCACAAGCACAGGTATACGCATATTCAAATTATGCCACATTCAATTAAAGAGAGGTTTCAGATAGGATTACCTTGTTTTCTTCTAAATTCCTTTTCAACTTTTCTTCCAGGTCCCTGGTCTCTTCTGAGCCCTTAAGTTTTATCTGCTCATAATTTTGACATGCTTCCTTAAACTGTTCTTGTAATACTTGGTACTCCTTTTCAATCTGTAAAATTTTCCCCTAAAAATAAATTATCTATTACAAATAGTCTAAAATTCCTACTTTACCAAGTTACTTAATAATCTTATTTTGAACTGTCTCTTAAACAAAAGAGAATAAAAGCCAGAAGTAAACTTACAAGGGAATGTCATGATAATTATGGAATTAAAAACTCCTACACACTATTTAGTAAAGTCAGCTCTTTTATAAATACAATCATGCATATTATTGGAACTCATTATGAAACTTTTCAATCTGTACTATAATTAGCTCTGAATGTTTGCTTTAGAAGAGTTCAGTATTAGATCAATAGTTTGATTTAAATGTTACTCTCTAAAGTTAACACCAAGAACTATTTATTAGGTGTAAAAAGCTGCATATATTACACATATATTTTAGATATGAATAGAACATATTAACTTTGGCTCTTAAGTGTTTCAAATAAACAGTTGCTGGTTATTTAAAAAAGACAACTTAAAATAATATCAATGAATTGTTTTCAGTTATTTAACTGTTTCTTGCACCAGCTTTAAAAAAAAAAAACCCAGAAACCATTCTGTAATGAAAAATGTTGGTGAACAATAAACGTCACTACGTATTTTTTAATATCTTTCATACTGCTAAGCCTGGTAGCAACCACACACTTATGTCTGAAAGCGTATCTGTTTGATAATCTCTTCCTTATTGATTTATAGAAACTTTGTATGTTTAGGAAATTAGTTCTCTATCTGTTCCATGCTACACATGTTTCCTAGTTTGTCATCTGTGTTTTGATATATTTCTTCTTACACATACATAGATTATACATATAAATATACACATTATATACATGATAAATATATTTTTGTCATGCTGTCTATTGATCTTAAGAAAAAAATTTCCTTTTTTCTTCTGGGTACCTCTACAGGCTCATTTTTTAATATTTAAATATTTTATCTGCCTGGAACTTATTTTGGTATAAGGAATAAAGTAGGGACCCAAATTAATTTTTTCTAGAGGGCAACCCATTTCTCCAAAAACCATCTAGTTAATAATCCACCTTTTGCTCACTAGTAATTTGTCATATTTACTATGTCCTAAATTTCTGTATTCTTCTATTCTATTGGACAGTTATTTTAATGGAACAGTTCAATTGTAAGATAATATAGGGTAATATTGTGTTTTTGTATCCAGTTTTATAACTCTTTTTCTTATAGTTTCCTTTCCCTGGCCATTCTTGATTTTCATTTTTCCATACGAAGTTTAGAATCAATTTGTTAGTTCTAAATTAATCCAGTACAGTAACCAGCCTCTAAGATAGCCTCCAAGATCCAAGTATCTTGGTATGAACTTCCTTGCCCAGACCTCTCCTACCATGTATCAGGGTTGGTGGGCTGTTCTGTGTGACCAAGAAAATACAGAAGTGATGGAGCATAACATTTTAAAGCAGGTCATAAAAGCCACTGCTACTTCTGCCTTGGATCACTCACTCTGGGGAAAACCGGACCCCATGAAGACATTCAAGCAGCATTATGTGGAGGTCCACAAGGCAAGGAACTGAAATTTCCTGCTAGCTGCCATCATCAACTTGCTAGCCATGTGAGTAAGCCATTTTGGGAGTAGAATATCGAGCCCTAGTCACTCCTGCAGATGACTGAGCCCAGGTCAACATCTTGACTAACCTCATGAGATCTCTAAATCATCCAGCTAAACTGTTTCTAAATTTCTGACCCAGAAAAACTGTGAGATTTCATAATTATGAAATGTTTGTTTTGAGGTAGTTTCTTATATAGCAATAGGTAACTAATAAACCCTGTTCATGTGTGTACTGGAATTGTTTTACATCTTAAAAAGCTTTAGGGAAAACCAATCTGTTCATCATAATAGGGCTTCTTATCCAAGTGCATGAAACACCTTTTAACTGAAGGCTTCTGTGTGTCTCAGTAACATTTTTGAAGTTTCTTTACATAGATTTAATATTTTATCTTTTTGTTGCCATTGAAAATATTTTCTTTTAATGTACTAACAGGTTGTTTGTACATTACATTTGTATATCTAACCCTGTATTATACCCATCTTTAAAATAAAAAAAATTAGGAAATACTCATTATTTTGCATCCAATCACCTTTTTGAAATCTCATATTTTGGTACAGATTTTCAGTTATCATTTTAGTTTTTTCCAGTACACAATCTTAGCCTCTGTAAATAATGATACTTATGCCTCCTCTTTTCTTCTTTCTCTCTCATATCTAATTTTGCCAGTTAATATCTCCAGGATAATAAATATTAATGGTGATGTTTCACCATTAAGCAAGATGATGGCTTTTGGCTTAAGAAAGAAAGATATTAGCACATTGAGAATTATTTATCAGTTCCCATTTTCTTACCAGTTTTGGTCAAGACAGGAAGTTGCATTTTATCCAATAGCTTTTCAGCAACTATCATAGTTGATCAGATTATTTTCCTCTTATGGATACATTAACAAAGTAAGTTATATTAATAATTTTCTAACTGAATCATCCTTAAAGTAGTAAAGGTCTTTATAGTTCCTTTTTGTACTATCATATAAGCTTATAAATTATATATTCATATACCAGTTAAAACAATTCCATTAAACTTTGAGAGAAATATGCTAGAAAAATAATGTACCTTTGCCTTTGCTCCCCCATCTCACATTTCAGCAATAAAAAAAATTTTTTTCATGTTCTCAAACTTATAACTTTGTATGGAATTAGCTGGTTTCAAATTAGTTTTAGTTCATCATTCCATCTAAATAAATTAATAAAAGTTAACTCTTTCAACACTTTAATACAATTCTGACTCACCTGCTGTGCCGCAAAAGGATCATATGGCTCAGTATTGACTTCTTGGTATGTTTTGTTCCAAGACATCTAAGGGTCAAAACAAACATTTAAATTCAATTTATCTCAACTGTCTTTGTAAAATAAATCCATAAAACATGTCCACAATTTTTTCAAGTTGTTTTTCTAATTTAGATTATTTTCAATGCTTTCTATAAATATTTAAGAAAGTTGTTTAGAATTAGTATGATTGAAAATGGTTTTGGTTCATTGCTCCTAACGTATTTTTTCAAAGTTTCCTAAAACACAGGAAATATAATGAGGAGTGGGACAATTCAATCAGGATTTAATGAATTCACATTCCATAAAGGCAACTATGGAGGGACCTCCATTTATTCTCATGCTTGTTAGTAAGGAACCCTTAAACACATCCTGCTTGTTTCTCTCCGCCTAGTTCTTAACCCTCATATCCCCTCTAGTTTGGCAGGAGAAGTTAGACATATGTAGCCCAGGCTCTTTTTTTCTTTCTCTGGGGAGCTGTCAGCACATTATCTCTTCCTTCTCCATGCAGTAAGCCCTATGGGGCAGGCACCCCAAGCTGGGAGGCCTGCTGATCCTGCCCTCCTGTAACTGGTAGGTAAGCCAGTGTAATGAAGGCTTCACTGTTAGCACATGCATTTTTCTACAAAAATGGTCACAGTCTCCTTTTGTACCTTGATTAAGTATTAGGGTGATATTTTGGCTCCATCTGCTGACTCATTTGTCTTATCTCTCAATTTGTATAGAATTTGGGTAGAGAATAAGGGTATTATCTAATGAACTTAAACTTCTTTCTGACAAGATTACCTGCCACACCTCACAAAAGGGTTCATATTTTAAAAATATTTTCAGGCAAAAACTTCGGTAACCACTATAAAGTCAATCAATTTTTAAGGATTTTACTCTATGAAAAATATACCTGCACATGCATGTTTTACTGCAGCATTATTCACAAGAGCAAAAACATGGAACCAACTGTGCTGCCCACTGAAAAAGGTCTGGATTTTAAAAATGTGGTACATATACACTATGGAATATTACACAGCCATAAAGAAGGACAAAATTATGAACTTCACAGCAACTTGGATGAATTTAGTCTCTATAAGACCGAGTGATCTATCACAGAAACAAAGCACTAAGTACCACATGCTCTCACTCATAAGTGGACCTGAACTACTATCATAATACAATAAGAAGGGGATTGGCAGCAGTGGGAAACTGCTGGGGAGGCGCAGGGCACACCTCATCAACAAGGGTACCTGCATAATAAACGTTTGTATATCTAACCCTGTATTGTACCCCAAACCTTTAAAATAAAAAATTTAAGAAAAATGTTTTAAGGATTTTCATAAATACAATGGCAGTGAAAAATGAAAAGGAAAGTTTAACTAGACATTTTTCTCTACTTAAGTCTTACCTGTACAGCAACCATCTGTGTAGGCGGAATATTTGCTATTGCATTGGTGCTTTCTGGATTTACTTCAGATTTGCTGTTTGAATTCCCACAGTGCCCATCATTTCCATTAGACTCACTTGGGGCTGTATCAGCATCACCCGTGCTGCGCTGTGACTTTACAGATACTCCCAAAGAATTCTCAAAGGTCTGAGTTTCAGAGGCAATCTGGCTACCAGCAGCATTCACAGCATTCAAATGATGACCCTCAAAATATACAGCAGCATTTTTATCTGTTCTGTCACCGGCTACAAAAGACGGCACCACTGTTACTGATCTTTGTAGCTGATATTCAGCAGAAATGCTGGTCAAAGGTGTGTATATGCTGGTGTATTGGGGTAACACATTTATGGATGTTGGTGATGTCTGGGTAATATTAAATCCCTGAAGATATGTACAATATCCAGTGACCAAATGAGACTGAGTCCAATAGGTTGGTTTTACATCTTCAGGAACTGGTTTGGGAGAATTAGAGGAGAGTGCCTTGTGATTTGCATCTTCAAAGACTGGTTTAGGAGAATTAGAAGAGACTCCTTTCGATTTCCCATCCTCAGAAACAGGTCCAGAAGAATTACCAGATATGGATTTGGGCTTCACATCTTCACAAGCTGGTTTGGAAAAATTAGCAGACACAGGTTTGGGCTTTACATTGTCAGAAGCTGGTGCTGAAGATAAATCAGACACTGATTTGGACTTTACATCTGGCTTAAATTCCCTGGCAGCTGGATTCAGAGGTAATTTAACTCGTAAATATTCTCCTGATTTTGAAAATTCTTCTACTTTTGTTTTAATGTTTTTCTTCCTTTTTTTCTTGAGCCGTGATGCAACTTTCTTCAATGCAATACAGTTGTCAATCACAACAAAACGAGGACATCCCAGGAGAAAAGATTGTAAACCTCCTGCTTTTTCTATTATATCTCGAGTTTCTTCTGAGAAGAACTCATATTCAGAAAACATCTTGTTATTCATGTCCAAGGGACCATATTCTTCTAAAAACTGAGAGAAGTAACTTGGAAAAAAATGTACATTTACATGAGTTACTAAAAGGAAGTACTTGCACATGTTTATTTGAAAAATGTTTATTCTCCTAAAGCAAAATACTATTTCACACCTCACTGAGCTCATCCCCTCCCCAACAACAAACACAAAGTTAACTGCAATCAATGATACTATAAACAAAATTTTGTCTATTCTTTAGAAAACAATCCTTTAAAACTTTTTTGGGGGAAAAGCAAAAGGGGAGCAAAAGTTATTTTATAAATTTCAATTATATAATCTATGTAAAAAGAAATGAATAAGAAAATTTCTTCAGGAAAAATAACAAAAATGCCAATACGCAAGAATGTTAAATGAGAAGAGGAAATCAAATCTCAAAAAGAAAAACCCTATTTGACTTTGCACATGATAAATCTACAAAATTTTTTGTTTAGAAATGTTCAATGATTCAGAGGGACTGAAATCAATCATGTCTGATCAATAAACCAATATAGCTCGAGATTCAGATCCACAGTAATGGGCCCACAGTCTGACCCCAGTTCTGAACTGAGTTGTCCATTCTACTTCTGAGTCTGTTTTCTTTTCCTGTTCTTACATCAGGCTCAAGAAGGCGTCTTCTTCCAAAGGAATTCTGTAGCATATTCACTCTGTAACAATGGCATAACTGGTATGAAAGTCACACCACGCACCATAAAAAGGTTTTTTCAAGAACAAAAATCTCCAAAGGGGTTTTCTTTTTTTTTTTTTTTTTTTGAGTTGGAGTCTCACTCTGTTACCCAGACTGGAGGGCAGTGGCCGCTCCCGGCCACCACAGCCTCGACCTGCTGGGCTCCGGCGATCCTTCCGCCTCAGCCTTCCAAGTAGCCGGAATTACAGGCATGCGCTACCACGCCCGGCTGATTTTTTGATTTATTGTAGAGATGAGGTCTCGCTGCCCAGGCGGGTCTCGAACCCGCGGGCTCAGGCAATCCACTCACCTCAGCCTCCCAAAGGCGCGGGATTACAGGCTGAGCCACCGAGCCCGGCTGGTTTTCTTAATAAATTAATATTAACAAGGAGGACAATTTAATTTAAAAAGAAGGTAAAAACAGCACTTCTTTGAAGAAAAAATCACTTTTTGTGCAGATGCTGCTGCAGATAAATGCATAAACCAGTTAAAAACAACCTCTATTTTAAGCAATACTCTGATAAAAAGCAAATGACATTTCTCTTTGTCAGCACTGCTGCTAGAAATGCTTAAAAAGTCTCTTCTTAATGTGTTTTATGATTAGTATTTTTCTCTTAGAATAATCTCTACAATGAAACTCCCCAAAGAATGAAGGAAAGAAAAAAAATAAACTCCCTGATACACATGCTGTTTTGCAAGGTAACGTAAAATATGGCTTTAAGATTCTCGTCAAATATAATTATTATAGAGAAATCTCTAAAAACATAGGGGCTAAGGAAGAGTATGGTAAAAAGAAATAAATAACTATAGTCTTGGTAACAGCAGTCTTTGTTGAGGATTTTGGCCAATTGGTATAAATAACATCAGCCCCCACCATCTGTCTAAAAGGAGACTCTTTTTCAGTTTCTGTTAGACTGCCATTATGAAACAGCAGAATATACTGAGTGATGTATCACAGAAACAAAGACCTGAGTATCACATGTTCTCACTCATAAGCGGACCTTGAACAATTATCGTAATACTATAAAAAAAGGACTGGCAGTAGCGGGAAACTGCTGGAAGGGGAGCAAAGCCGGATTGGCAGTAGTGGGAATCTGCCTGGGGAAGGGAGGGGGCACACCTCATCAACAAGGGTACCTACATAATGAACATTTGTATACCTAACCCTGGATTTTACCCCACATCTTCAAAATAAAAAAAAAATTAAAAGAAAAAAAACAGCAGAATAAATGATAAGTGATATACGCATATTCCCACTTAAAAAAAAAAAAAAGGATGTGTTGGACTATATAGTTTTGCTCTCCATAATGTATATTAAAGAGTATCGGCCAAGCTTGGTGGTTCAGCCTGTAATCCCAGTACTTTGGGAGGCCGAGGCGAATGGATTGCCTGAGCCCATGGGTTTGAGACCAGCCTAAGCATTTTGGCAAGACCTGTCTCTACAATAAAGCAAAAACCAGCCAGGTGTGGTAGCACGTGCCTGTAGTTCCAGATACTTGGAAGGCTGAGGCGGAAGGATCGCCAGAGCCCAGCAGGTCGACGCTGGGGTGGCCATAAGAGTGCCATTGCACTTCAGCCTGGGCAACAGAGTGTGAAACTCCAATTCAAAAAAAAAAAAAGAAAGAGTATCATTAAAAACTGAAGTTTTGAGGCTGGGCATGGTGGCTCACACCTATAATCCCAGCACTTTGATAGGCTGAGGCAGGAGGACTGCTTGAATTCAGGAGTTCAAGACCAGCCTAGGTAAGCAACATAGTGAGAGCTTGTCTCTTAAAAAAATTAAAAAATTAGCCAGGTGTGGTGGCATTTGCCTGTAGTCCCAGCTACTTGGAAGGCTGATGTGGGAGGATCACTTGAATTCAACAGTTTGAGGCTGTGGTGAGTCATGACTGTGACACTCCTGGCAACAGAGTGAGACCATGACTCAAAAAAAGGAAGCTTTCTATTTCTGCTGGATCAAATACTTAAATCTGAAATGCGATCTCTAAAGAACAGAGACCACATGAAAGGCATACTCTCAGCAATTCAGCAATGAGGTAACAACCACAAGAGCGGATTAGCATCACAAGTGAAATGCAGATCCAGGTGGAGATTACTAAGCAGCTGGCAAAAGTTATGTTTCTGAAGAATATTTAAAGATATGAAGAAATACCACACATTTAGGCGAAAAAGGCAAATGTCAAGACTGACTATGTAGTAAAACCATAGTCTATAAGTTTTTTAAAATATGCTTTATAAATATATATTTTAAGCCTGAAAGAGCATACACCAAAAGTTAACTATGGTTATATGGGTGGTAGAATTATTAATAATTTTCACTTTTTCCTTTAAACTTTAAAGAATTTCCATAATAATCCATTTTACTATTTTTATAATCAGAAATTTTTTTTCAAATAATTAGTGTCTATGTTTTTCTATTGACTGAGTAGCAATGAATTTTTCATACATTCAAGCAGAACAAAATTTAGCTCAACAAGCTTCTGTAGCCCAAAGAGAAATGGTAAGTACTATAATTATATTGTGAATTAAATTGTTATAGTTACTGTTATTTGAAATGCAACACAAAATGAACTTTAACTTTCATTTTGACTTTTCTAGGTATTAGTATTAGACTTTTCTAGGTCTTGAAAAGTAGGCTCAGTAAGATAAATATTGGATCCAAAATAGCATAAATGATTTTTTCATAATGTAGTGTTTTACAGGGGTTTGAATCATTCTATGAACACTGGTCCTGGTGTTTTAAAACATAAGAAAGAAGCTCAGCCTGTAATCCCAGCACTTTGGGAGGTGAGGCAAGTGGATTGTCTGAGCCCATGGGTTCGAGACCAACCCGGGCAACTTGGCGAGACCGCATCTCTACAATAAATTAAAAAAATCAGTTGGGCATTGTGGCATATGCTACTTGGAGGTCTGAGGCGGAAGGATCGCCTGAGCCCAGTAGGTGGAGGCTGTGACAGCTGTGAGCATGCCACTGCACTCCAGACTGGGCAGCAGAGTGAGATTCCAACTCAAAAAAAAAAAAAAAAACGGGCACACTGTACAAGACAGGAGTAAAAATAAATAAAGCTAATTACATCAGAGATAGTAACAGCTGTTATGTATATATGTACATGTTTATATATGTATATATAGCATTTTCTTGATTTGATGATGACCATTTGTATCTTAAACATAGATGAACTTTCAGAATGACAGTGCAGGTCTACTGCTAGTACAGAGGAAAGGACAAGGAATGGGGAAAACATTTCAAAAATCACTCCCATCCTACTTTTATGGGAGTGCCCTTTGGAAATCACTGTTTTGTACATGCTCGTAATTCTTATTTTATTTTATTTTAAGAGTTGGAGTCTCACTCTGTTGCCCTTGCTGGAATGCAGTGGCAAGCTCACAGCCACCGCAGCCTCAATCTACTGGGCTCAGGCAATCCTTCCACCTTAGCCTTCCAAGTAGCTGGAACCACAAGCACGCACCATTACACCTGGCTAATTTTTTGATTTATCATAGAAACAAGGTCTCACCAAGCTGCCCAGACTGGTTTTGAACTCTAGACTCAGGCAATCCTCTCACCTCAACCTCGCAAAGTGCTGAGATTACAGGTTAGAGCCACTGCGTCCAGCTTGTGATTCTTATTTTAGAATGTTATTTTTAAGCTGGGCTCGGTGGCTCAGCCTGTAATCCCGCACCTTTGGGAAGCTGAGGTGAGTGGATTGCCTGAGCCCGCGGGTTCGAGACCTGCCTGGGCAGCGCGACCTCATCTCTACAATAAATCAAAAAATCAGCCGGGCATGATAGCACGCACTCTGGCTACTCGGACGGCTGAGGCATTAGGATCGCCAGAGACCAGCAAGCGAGGCTGCGGTGGCCGGGAGCGGCCACTGCACTCCAGTCTGGGCGACAGAGTGAGACTCCAACTCAAAAAA